ATTCAGATAAGAAATATTTACCATCTGATCTAAATATCAGTATCATGTACAAGTTGTATTGTGAACAGCACCCTGGAAAATCTGTATCTTTTACTATCTATAGAAATCTGTTCCATACCATGAATTTAAGGTTTAAAAGACCCAAGATTGATACATGCACAAAATGTGATACACTTAACGCTAAACTTAAGTATACGATTTCTAACAAGGAAAATGAAAAGAAGCAAATAGAAGAATTACTAGAAACTCAAAACGAGGCAGAAAATGCGTATAAATCTAAATCATTGGACAAAGAAAAATACAAACTCAATGAAAAATGTGTGACCTACGCTTTTGATCTTCAGCAAGTCTTACCTACACCTTATTTAACATCGAATAAGATGTTCTATCTAAGACAGCTATCAACTTATAATTTAACCATACATAATTGTTCAGATGGAAAATCGAGTCACTTTATGTGGCCCGAGAGCACGGGTGCTAGAGGAGCAAATGAAATTTCATCTTGCATTTATAGATTCATCAAGTCAATCCCGGAGAGAACAGATCACTTAATTTTCTATTCCGATACATGCGGTGGACAAAATAAAATTTTTATTGTTATGAACATGTTTCAGTACGTTGTTCATACTCATGCAACCGTTAATAGGATTGACCATAAGTTTTTGGTTCCTGGGCATACGCATTTAGAGTGTGATATCGATCACTCGGTGATTGAGCGAGCCAAAAAAAAAAAGACTTCAATTAGTATTCACGTTCCAAGAGATTGGTACCAATTAGTGAGAACTGCGAGCAAAAAAGATAAATTTTCTGATTTTCCTATGGAAATTGACCATTTTTTGGCTTTTTCGGAATTATCCACAAAAGGACCTCTCCAGAAAAAAAATCAAAATAAGAGATATTCCCCCCAAAAAAAATTATATCCGCAAGGTGGCAGTACAATGACGAAATTCATGATTAAATCGAACGCCTGGCCCACTGGGCTCTGAAGACGCCTACCCATCGCCGTGTGATTACACAACGTTGCCTTTCAGTCCATTTAAAAAATGTTCCAAAATTATTGCACCCATGAATTTCAGCTAGCTAACGTGACCCGTTCAAACAAAAAGTAGAGGGAACATTGAAAAGCACTGTATGTATATAAGCTACTTTGAAAAAATAGACATCATAGGTAGTATAAGTTTATTCACATATATACAGTTTCAGTGGACCCAACAATCCAAATACATACATATAGACAAATAAACTTCAAAATCCCACTTAAGTATATATACCTGCTAGATACAGATATGAGCATCCCTACTAATATTATAAATGTGTGTATGTTTGTGTGTTTGTATGTTCCGTTTTCACGCCAAAACGGCTGAACCAATTCCGATGCATTTTGGAACAGATATAGATTAGACCTTGGAGACGAAGGGGTTGAAATGGGGGTAAATGTGACCATGTGCATCAAGAAACTATTATTATTTTAGTTCGTGAGATAAATATTGGTTTTTATATATATTTGGTTCATACATATAAATTAAATGAGCACTCACAAAGCAATTTTGGAAATTCCACCCCCAAGCAAGGGTTGAAGCGAGGTAACGCCCTTTGTACTGAGGAACCTAAGCTATTTCAAATAGCCCAGAAGTAGGGGGTATCTTTTGTTTATAATTTTATCTATAAAATAAACTGACATTAACAAAGGCTTCCATAAATGATATCCTCCAGATGGGGAAGGGAGGGGGGTGAATATTTCTTATCAGCTTTTTGATTTGTTGTCACCGTTTTGATAAATTTATCTCGAGAACTCAGACATACATATGTATATAATATATATTTTCAAAGAATTTCAAAATTTCAGAATTTTAAAAATTTTTAGAATCTTCAAAATTTAAAAAATTTGTAAGATTCTCAAAATTTTACAAATTTAAAACCTCAAAATTTTAAAAATTTTCATGATTTTCGAAAGTTTAGAAATTTTCAAAATTTATCAAGCTTCAAAATCATCAAAATTCTAGAAATTTTCAAAATTTTTTCGATTTATAAAATGTTCTAAATTATTATGATTTTCAAAATATTGAAAAATTTTAAAACCAACACGGTAACTAGTCAGCATGGCGAACGACGCACCTGTCTTAAATAGGGCCAATAATCTTCCGCCGAGGGAGTGGTCAGCGGGAGGCGTGGTTTTGCCAAAATATTTGTCAAATTACTTCTACAACTCAAAAACCGTTTGAGCAAATGAGTTGATTTTTTCTTTGATGGCTTGTTCTTTCAGTTCTTTATGTCTTTTATCCACATACTTTCAAAAAATCGTTTTCCTTCAAAAGAAAAAGAAAATTTTTATGCGAAAAATAAATTATATGTGGAAAATGAGCGATAAAGGACGTTCCTTTATTGATTCATAATGCAATCACTTAATTTCATGTCTTTACGATTATTTGTTTCGAAGCTGGGACTGTAAAAAAATTGGCAAAAAAAAGTTGTCATTTTGACAAAAAAACATGAGATTATCATAAATCAGTCATTTTTATACACACCCTGAAATAATCAGACAATAAGTGCTCATAATACTGCTCCAAACGCACAGTTGAAAAAAAGGGACGTGCGACCTTAAGGTACACTAAGAATGCCACAGTGGCCTACAAGAATAGTTTGAACGAAGAGGAACCATTCATAGAGGTTAATTTATTCAGAAAGGGGCATAACCCTTCAAGTCTAAAGGATACTCAATTAAAAAAAGTTTATAATGGCCCACGGCCTATCAGCAGCTTGAAGAAACAAAATCTGGTAGAAATTGTTTCTACTTTAGACAATGAGGTTCAATCATACTACAATAAGTTGAAAACTGATAAAAAAATTGAGGAAGATACAGATCCAGATGTAGATAGGTATCTAACTGATGATGAAGAATGCTAGCATTCATATATATTTTATTCTTATTTGCTTAGTTCTATCTCGTACCTGATACTGAGAAAGCATTGTCTCTTAATTTCAATTTATTTCATTATTATATGTTTAGTTTTTTCTTGTACTCGATAAAATTACTATTACTAAGAAAGACTGTTTGTTGATTTTATTATAAAGTTTACCTATTTTGAGTTATGTTCATAAAAACCGATGTCTATGCTAATAAAACTTATTATATCCATATCAAAACATGTTTACTTATACCCAAAATACCCAATTACTGCAAAAAAGCTGAGTAGCATGTTCACTTGAGCTACTTTAACTGAAACAAATAGCAGAAATTGAATGAAAATATATAGACTTATGCCCTTCTCACCATAACAGATATTGTGGCATGTCTTGTACTAGGTCGACTTATATCCCTTGGATCATTTTTTTCTATGAATATGTTGTTTCATGCCGTTTTAACCATAACAAATTCAATTACCCTATTTGACAAAAAAGGCATATCTAATAATTTTATCATTCATCCTTCATATATGGATATTTTCTTATACTATATGGTTCAGGATTTTATGACAGAGAATTAATAAAACAGGTTTTGTACCATTTTTCCTAGCCACGCCAAAACTAAATCAATATAAAACCAGTCAAAACTTTGCCGCCATTTTACCGAAAACAACAAACATATACATAAGCCCTTTCAACTATTTACCACAGATTTAGACTTTGAACAAGACGTCAAAAATAATATATCGACATACATATCATCTTCATCTGCTTTGGACTTGACTGACTATAGCGAAAATGTTGTAGGATATATTTCTGGTTTTGTGGTAAAAACAATGAAAAAATGTGTCACTTGCACAAAATGCAGCAGTGCATTAGAAAGTTCCGAAGTCATTTCTATGTTACAGAGAGTTAAACAATATGGTAAACTTGTAAAAGCCTCTCGATTCGTAATTCAACTATGTACCGCTGCCGAAAAATATTTTAGATTCTTCCACAAAACCACAAATATTTTCAATAAAAATATTCACAATTTATTAGAAACATTGAAAATCAATACGATCAAAACTTTACCACCAGAAATTCTAAGCCATTTTGAGCACCATTTGTTTGATGATGATCCTGTAGATGGGCATGCAGTTCAATTAATAAAACTAATACTCCACCATTATTTCAAATTAAGAATACACCATAAAACTGCTAAAAATATGGCCTTATCAGCAAAAACAAGAGTTCGAAGTGTACTAACCAAAACTATTTTATTTAGGCATGAATAATTCTAGAATATAAAAATGTATATACCACAAAAGTCAAAATACTCTTAATGTAGCGTTTTGTATTATATGTTTACAATAATATAAAACTTTGAATCGGTAAAATCTATAAAATAGTTATCATCTATTCATACTCTAAGATTATTGGTGTGCTAGAATTGCAATAATTCATTTAGTTTTTATCAAAATGTACCTTAACTTTGATTAATACTTGTCCTTTTTCCCATTTTAGGAAAGAAGTAAAAGAAGCTTTTGTTAGACAAATCATTTTTGTATTTCTCCAATTTTTATAGAGAGTCTCATTTAATTAACGTTAGTATTTGTATCTTTATTCTTCATATCCTAACCATATTTCATATTATTAACACGTTAATCGCCCAAATGAAGCAAAAAATATTCTACCCCCAGGCCAAACATATTTTTTTTAGGAAATACTTAATTTTTACTCTGGATATGATGTGCTGGCTGTTATCAGACGTTAGTCTTAGAAAATGTCCCAAAAATATATTTTGAAAATGACTCCCGACTTATGGGTTTCAGATCCCCCGATCACTGAGCGCCGCGAAACCCAAATGTCAGGTGTCATTTTTTCAAGTTCTAACAAGTCTCTGTATGCTAGAAATGCAGATGCTTCGTGTAGTTTCCAGTCCAATTGTTGAGAGCGCGCCGAATAGTAAGGCTTGGTTGTGAATAAAATAATTTGAGTTGTGATTTGTGCTATAAAATAAAATGACGGGCACATATGAAAAGGAGCAAATGAGACTTATGAAATTGTGGAATGAGCTGCTATCAGACGAAGAGGAACAAGGACCTTCAGAGCTCATGGACAATTCTTCAGACGATTACTTGCCCAGTCATTCATCATCAGATGTTGACTCCGACACAAGCTCATTGCAATTGAAACCCAGGAAGAAGAAAGCTAAAAGGTAAATTATTATAATTATTTTGTGACCAACTAACTTTTGCTTTCTTGTTCAAAAGTGTGGTTTCTCCTTCATAATGCTCCCAACTAATAATTTCTAGATTATCTATCAAATCGAAGAAATCTAATGATGGTCTTCAGATGAACAACCCAGTACTGACATTATCCACCAGTGACTTTGCAACAGCTGTAAATTCCTCGAGGTCCAATATAATTCATCCTAGTATAGATAGTGAAACTGACGATTCTTGGCAGGAAATAAATCCTAGAAAAAAGACTAAAAGGTAAATATAACCTTATTGTGGACAAGAAAATGTGCTGACCTTTTTGTCCTGTGCTTAATGATCAGTCAATTATTATATATTTTGAAAAATATACTCATACATAATCTTTTCTTTCAGATCAAACAATGTTGAAATACTACGGTTATCCTAGGGTGCAATCATCGCGATCCGCAACCTTTTACTTCTAGAGATGCAAACATCATACCAAAAGAACAACGTCAGTCCACTATTGATAAAGTCATCGATGAAGTTATAGCTCAGTTTTGTCTTATAGATAGTGAAAATGAAAGCGATGAAGATCCTCTGCATGATGAACTACACTGGATTCCTTCGACCGGCTCTCATTTAAAAAAGTTCATTTTTGATTTAGATCATGTCGGTGTTACTACACAGATATCTGAGGACTTTATTACCAAGGCACCGTATGATTTTTTCAAGATATTTCTCAGTGACGAACTTCTGGATTTGATTGTACTAGAGACCAATAGATATGCTAGACAATGCAAAAACAAACCTTTGGCAGTAAACTCGCGCTTACACAGGTGGAGAGATACAAACAGGGTTGAAATTACGACATTTTTTGGAATTGTAATGTATATGGGTCTAGCAAGGTTGCCGAAAATGACGGATTACTGGTCCAAGAATCCCTTATATAGCAATAAGGTGTCGTGTAAAATGTCCAGAAATCGATTTGAATTACTCCTCAGAGTGCTACATTTCAACGATAACGAAATTATTGATAAAAATGACCGACTGGGAAAACTAAGCCCACTATTAGAAAACTTGACCAATAAATTCAAAGAGGTTTACGTTCCGGAGAAATCTGTCTGCATAGATGAAACACTAGTACCATTCAGAGGCAGGCTGTCATTCAGGCAGTATATCAAAAATAAGCGGTTCAAATTCGGGATAAAACTGTACAAATTATGTTGTAAGGATGGCTATACATACGATATCAAAGTATACTGCGGAAAAGATAAAAATTCAGAGAAACCTGCTACAGTTTCGACTGTTTTGTCACTAATGGAGCCACTTTTAGGCCACGGACGGATCTTATACACCGACAACTACTACACTAGTGTCGCCTTGCCCATGAGTTACAAAAGCGTAAGACTAATCTTGTGGGTACCCTAAGAAAAAATAGAAAAAACAACCCAAAAAATGTGGAGGCTCAAAAATTGAATAAAGGAGAAATTTGCGCAATGGAAAGTAATACAGGGGTGGTTGTTTTGAAATGGAACGATAAACGTGATATTCTTTGTCTGAGCACTGTACATACTGAGACAACCACTAAATATACACGGAGAGGAACAGAAATAGAAAAACCATCTCTTGTTGTTGACTACAACTCGTGTAAGCCTTTCATAGATCTATCAGATCAGCTGAAATCATATTGTTCGCCTTTACGTAAAGGCGTAAAGTGGTACAGGAAATTAGCCTTTGAAATATTACTTGGCTCAGCTGTAGTCAACGCATTCATATTGTATAAAACTGTGACGAAAGCGAAAATATCAATAACAGAATTCAGACAGAAAATTGTCCTTGGTATGTTACAAATCGAAGAAGTGACTGTCAGGGAGGAGACAGAAAATGAAAACAGAAAGCATGTTTTGCAGGAAGTTGCTTCAAAAGAGCGACGAAAATGTGTAGCATGTTATGCGAAAATAAGTATTGAAGAAGGCAGGAAAGCCGCTCAGAAGAAGGGACCTAAGTCAAAAATTTTTTGCGATATATGCAATAAGTTCTACTGTTTGACATGTTTTTTTGATGATCATAATTATTCTTTATAACTAGTTGCAATCATTTGCTGTTTTATGATATTGCAATTATTATTTATAACTAGTAGCCACTGTTTGTATTACAGCTCTAAAATAAAAAAGTGTTTTCATAACTGCATAGCATTATTAGAAGAAATATTAACCGATAAAGAAAATATCGTGGAAGTGCCGGGCTCATTCAGCAATATTACCCGCCAGGCCCCTCTATAACAGTTCTCATATAAGTTGATGCGTTTTGAAGCACGGCAGTTGGGTTACAGGCTTTAATGTACACGATAGTAATGAAGGTCGACATACAGTTGTCGGAGCAAAATCGACCACAAGTTCTGAAACCCAAGTGTCAGGTGTCATGGCGGTTAACGTGTTAACGATTTTCAATGGCATTTCTTGTTACGCTGTTTGGAATCCAAACCATTATTTGTATGAGCTATTTTCTTGCCAGATGAAGGCATTTTATTATTATTATTATTATGTAAAAGAACGTGTTCCATAATCTAATGGTGAGTGTATTATAAATTGAAAATAAAACTTGAAATTAAACAATGACTTGTTGTGTTCTTCTTTCTCTTTCTAATAGGTACCTCTCCCCTTACTTATTTTTTGAACAGGTCAAGCTAGTAAGTTAAAATTCGGATAGGTGGAATAATAAAAAATAGCTGTTCAAAATTTCAAGAAGGGTCTGCGCGCTATCATGGAACATTTTTTAAAAGTGGAATGAGGGTAATACAATATGTCATTTTGTTGCTCGTTATGAATGCTTTATGACCTTCTAGAATATGAAATTATCACCTTTTAAAATGGATAACTCACAGCCTGTCAAATTATAGCCATTTGAACGTTGAGCCGCCTTGAACCCAACATCTACTCATCAACACCTTATAGTGTTTATCTTAATTCCACTTTTATAAGAGGTATCCAAATGTACAATAAAATGAGATATTCATTGTTTTAAATTGCAGATTAAGCGATTCAGTGTAGAAATGACCAGCTGCTAGTACGCCACTTTGAGAGATTGATTTAATATTCTAGGGTTATAAAGTACTTGTATAGATCTTCAAAATGACATCCAATGCCATTCAGAAAAATTTCCCAAAATGGCATGCTATCTTGGAAGTTTTCATCCACCATTTTTACATCAATTTTAACAACTCGAATCTCAACCTGCTAACTTAACCAGTTCAAAAAATAAGTGGGAGAACCATTTTCAAAAGAACTGTATTTTCTTGTAGCACACTCAAAATTTATGTAACTATCTAAAAAACGAAAAGACAAATTGATAGATATCAATCCTGTTCCACCTTGAAATCAATAAATTGAAATAACACTAAGCGACTTGTCTTTTTTGAAATAAGAAACTTGATTTTCTGGTATATCATAATGTTTATCCATTATGGATTTTTACACCATCCTACATTTTTTTAGGTCTCCGATTTAGAAATAGAACTTTTCACCTAACTTTTCAATTAAAAAAAAATGTGGCTGACTCGTGTTCTACAGATTGATTAATTCAGTGTTTCATTGTGAATGCGGAAATATTATCATCATGAGACGCCACTGGTTGTAACGTAATCCTTTCCATAGCTGGCGGCCATTTTGTTTTCCCCACCAGTCGTCTCTCCCCCTGACCCCCAAGCAATGTTGGAAAATAAACAAATGCGTAATCATGAATGAATGGCAGTGTCTATACTATATATCGTCGGTGAAGCACCTCTATCTCTAGCAGATTGTAAGTTCAATATATGAAAAGTTATATTGTTGGGTATAATCATGGTGATTAAAATTCATACCACAACCAATCTTATATCATATGATTAACAGACTCTATCTTATTAATGAAACCAATTTGAGATGGATTCCATATGATTGAAGCATACATTAAAGCTATATAAAAAAGAAAACTATAATGTCATGAATCTTTTTAAGATTGGAAAATTTATTTATAAAAGTTAATTTGCAAACAAGAAACAAAATGCTACACATTTTTACTAGATTTACACCCGATTCATTATAGCCAACGTTGCAGACTAACACAAAAGTGTCACTTGCTGATCAGCTGCTCACCTCATTGGACGTCAAAGCGTGATGGATACTCGTGAAATACACCCTATTTCACGAGTATTCATTACGCTTTAACGTCTACTGAGGCTGATCAGCAAGTGACATTTCTGTGTTAGTCTGCGACGTTGGCAATTGTGAATCGCTTGTAAATCTAGTAAAACTTATTTGTAGCGTTTTGCTGTTTGCACGCAAATGAACTTAACTAAATAAAAGAGCTGTTAGCAAGTACAAAATGAATCTGTAGAGTACAAAAAACAAAACAAAATACCGCTCTGACTACCTGACGTTGACGGATCCGTCAGAATTATGTTTCCCGTGCCGAAATGGGGAATTTTGAGATATTACTAGATAACTAGCTGTCATTATTCCGTGAAATAAGGTGTAGGGTTTATACTGAATTTTATTACGAAGTTTTAGGTTGAAGAAAAGAAAATATTTGAGGTTATGTATTATGCATTGTTTACACGTTGTGTGGTGAATTTAGAGCTAAAAGCTGGTTTAAAACAGAAGTTATTCATATTTATTGCCTGTTATCTATGTATTTGGTGTTTAAAGTAGGAATATAAATAAGATGATATTAATAATTACCCGAAATTAGGCATTTATAAGATCAAATTTAAGTGAACAGGATGATTTCATAATACCATCGATGTCACAGGTTTTCATAGCAATAATAACGCTGTTTTTGTTTATTATATTTTTTAAATTGCATTTAGTCTCAATTGTCTGTTTTTAATTTCGTTAGACGTTTATTAGCATTCTAAGAACTAGTGATGTGAGCGAGAATATTCTCAAAACATATATTCTCGAGAACGAGAATATTCTCGAGAATATTCTCGTGGAGAAAATTCTCGCCGGTAATTTTCTTAAAATGCTTTTAGCAGTATGGTGTACACGCGGCCTTACCCGGCTGGGCGTTACCGTCGGAAACCTACTTTTAGCGAGCCAAACGGACCTCGTGGGGAATCCCGGAATCCTAGAGGTGTTTATTTGTATTTCTTCCTGTCATAACCTGCAAAGCATCGCAACCGAACGACAGTATTAGAATTATTTTTCGTTTGTTGAACACGTAAATCATCAAAATCATGAGTGATAGGAAAATAACCAAACCAAAAAGTAATGTGTGGAATCATTTTGACTTGAAAAAACTTGAAGGAAAAGTAGTTTATACCTGCAAATTTTGTGCTAGTGAATATGTAAAAAATGCTACAAGGATGACTAAACACTTGTTGAAGTGCTTAAAATGTCCCAGTAATATTAAGAGAGACTTTAAAATAGTAGGATCAGAAAATGTATCATCTCCGTCGAGTACTGCAGCTTCATCTTTGATATTTTTTGCTTAAGTTAAATTCAATCAAGTCAAAATAAAACATTTTTTTCAGATCAGTGTGAAGAGGAGGAAACTTTAACAAAAGCTGCCAGCATATCAGGTAGCTT